TCTCTGATTACTTTGGTGTTTCCTCTAGGGCATAGGACGGTTGCTACAGCTCCAAATGTCACAGTAATGCTCGAAGCTGAATAAACTGGCATGTGGCAATACTAGCAACTCCAGTCTCCTTTATAAAAAGGTGAAATACTTCCCGGAATGGATGTCTGTGGCCATTGAACACCCACTGCAAAGACTAGGATGGGGGTATGATTTGTAACTCTCCAAACTTCTACAGAAGAGACAGGTGAGGAAGTGGGTATTGGGTAAACCGGGCAACACTGGAGTCCTCGTGGTTCAGATAAGAAGCTGAATTGCAGTGTGTCTGGATACCTCCCCCAAGGTTGCCTGGGAGTAAATGGCAGAGAAGCTACAGCTCCAACGTTCATTAAGTCTGGAATGACTGCAGCATAATGCAATGAGGACCAGCGCCATCCAGGGCTGAGTTGAGTACAACACTTTAAGAAGAGGGGGCATCTGTGTGTCCTCAAGGAGTGGGGTGGGGGTGGGGGGGAGTTGCCTGCTGATATCCACAGGTGTTTAGGAAGCAGATACCTTAGAGGACTTCTCTGTATGCCATTCTGAGTATATACTTAATGCTATAATTTCTGTTGTCTCCCTAACCTCTTGTCTATGAGCATTTAATCTTTTCAGCTCTGGTCTTGCTACAAACCCTTCAAGAAAGTGCTTCCCAGAGTTGGTGAGGGATTTATAAAATAACACAAACTTAAACCCCAAAATGTGGCTTCTTGATTGCTCCTCAAGTTGGCAATTATGTGTGTGTTAATGACCATATCCCGAGGTGGCAAAGACTGAGGAGACAAATAAGTGTAACTTTTCTCAAGTATTCATCAGAAGCTCTAAAAAGTGAACTAGTGCTTTGAGCTAGCAACCTACATCTGATTTCATTTTGAAGAAATATGGATATGCTTTAAAAATAGTATCATGTATGCTCAGCACTGCATTATTTATAAGAGCCAAATTAGCAACCACTTGAACAAAAAAGCAAATTGCAGAAAAATATTAATACTGTAAGGTTAAAAATGGAACAAACATGTCAAATCTAGAGAAAAACAAGAACCTGTATCCATAAATTGTAGGATGATGGTGGGGGTGGAGGGGCAGAGATTCACGGGATCTTGATTTTGTTTCTTACATGGGGAGGGGGCGGTGTGTTCCCGTATTTAGATTTGGTCTGCACCAGCTCCTCTGGTGTGACGCTACCAACCATGTAGCATCACAGTAAAGGCGGGCTTCTCACACAGGTCAGGCCTCGAGTTGGTAGTTCTCAGCTCTGCACTGTGTATGTCATCTTGCACCCCAGGAGCCCCCCACTGAGCACTCACATCCAGGCGGGAGAACGTGAAGAGGAATGCCTAGGGCTTGATGAGCACTGCAGGGTGAAGCTTGGAAGCCTTTGAGAAGGCCCCCACCCAGCTGGAGTGCTGGGGCAGGTGAGCAATAGGGCAGCTGAGCCCTGGGAAGAGGAATGGGTTCTCCTGAGCATCTACTGGCATCTCCAACTACATCTTAAGCATGAGCTATAGGGCACTATTTTTCTGAGCAGACTCTTAAATGCCAGGAAAAATGTTGGAGAAAAACAGATTACAAGAATCCTGGTTGACCCTGATGTGTGTGTGATCGGAACACAACAGCGACAGTAACCCACCCAGCTGTGCAGGAGGGGTGCTGTGCTTTTCCTCCTCCTTTATCTTCACACTTTCCTGTGCAGTCTGCATTTTCTGTACCCAGCATGTATTACTTTCATAATTGGATTTAAAAGATTAAAGACATGGATTTGGTTTTGAACAAAGAATAAAGGAAGCTTGCCAAGAAGCGCTAAGCAGAGCTGCCTGGCACCAGCATCCTGTAGGGGGAAGAAAGGCGGATACCAGTTGAGCTGTCACCTGGGTGCTGACAGAGCACAATGGGGTGGGAGACCCTGGTGAAGAGCCCTGCCTGGGGTAAGCACAGCCTCTTGGCACCAGCACCCCTTAACCTCTCCAGACCGGACCAGCCCTGGACCAGAACTGTGTGCTCATGGTGCTGGATCTTCCCTCCCCACACTCTTGTGCCTCTCTGTGGCCTTCTAGACAAGAAAATGGAGACATGTGTGTGTGTGTGTGGAAGTGGGGGCAGTGCATGCCCCCAGCTGCTGGGTGGTGTCACCTGGTCCCAGCACCTGGTATGTGTGATTCCCATTCGCCTCAGTCCAGCTCTGCCAGGACAAGGGTACATGATGAAGGGTACATCTTCCCAGAAATGAACCTTACCATCAGAGCACTGGGGTTGGCTCAACACCATCCAGCCCTTCTCCAAGTCCCAGGAAGACCGTGCCACCTGGAAGGAAGTTCCTGGCTTTGCACCTGTTCCTGACACCAACTCAGAAAAGGGGCATGGGTCCCAGATCCCATGGGCAGCTAGGCAGACTCTGCTGAGTGTGAGGGGGCTGTAGAGTAGACAGCAGCCAGCCTGGCTTCCAAAGACAGACCTCCACTCACCAGACTGCCCTCCGGAGATCCTGTCACTGGCCTATTCTCCGCTCAGGCATTCTGGGGCCCAATCACAGATGTCAAGTGGGAGCAAACCAAGACCATCAGTTGTGAGAAGAGAAACTAAATCACAGGTCTCCCAGCAGGTAGCTGACTTTGAGGGGACGTGGGAACACAAGTTCTGCAAAGCATCTGCACACGAACAGTGCACCACGCTGGGGAGGACAGAAGTTAAAGAGGCTGAACTATTGACTTGTCCTCCCAGAAACTGGTAGCAATGGGTTCCTTCTGGGGACCTCCAAGTTCCTTGGAGAACTTGGTGAGCAGAGGAATGACACATTTATGGCTGAGAGGCATTTGGAAGGCTCCCCAGGGGTCACAGCTTCATCTGTCAGCCAGGAACACGTGTCGGGTGGGCTCCTGCGAGACCTGTCTCCTACCATGGGGCTTCCCAACAGCACCAGTACAGCTTTTCAGGAGTCACCTTCCAATTTGTAGAGAATGGAAGGAATCAGTGGAGGGCCTCAACCCTCATGCCCAGCCCAAGGGTGCCAGGAAGCAAGTCTCCTTGTATCCCCCAAAACGATGACTTATAACCATAGGAATCAGTGCTTATTCTGGGAATCTGCAAATAGGTGTTTAGAGGATTGTGCAGCTTCATTAAAAGTGTACATTATGGCACAGAAGTTTGAATTTTACTTTCCACCTTTTTATAATTAACCTATTTAAAACCTCACTGGATGTTTTATCAGCAATCAATCAGACGTTAAAATCTGGGCATTTTCTTACGGCATTTTCTTGCTTCATCCCTCGATGTCTGATAACTTAAGAGCTGAACAGATTCTTATGGACTTTCACTCCTCAATGTCTGCTGAAGTATGGTTGCTCCTGAGCCTAGAGATGTGGCAGTTCACAGCGGCATGCTGAGGCAGAAAATTCTTACCAGTTCTCAACTGAAAAAATCCTCCTGTTAATTTACACTGTTTCATGTTGACATGACAGCATTTTGATATATACTGGGCTAAATATATTAATATAACTTTATCCTTTTTTTAACATAATGAAAATTTAACATGGAGTTCACCTACCTTTAGTGAACAGCTCTGATCCAGAACACACATCTAAGTCTATCTCCTTGTTAACTGTGATGCAAGATGTAAAATTCCACAAAAACACAATGGGTTGTTATTGTAAGAGCTATGTTCAGGGCTTTCGAAAGTACACCTTGGATGCCAACCTCCTGTCCCACACAATGAGTTCCAGGATGCAGAGTGACTTGTAGAGGAACCGAAACTAAGTGATTCCTGGAATCCAGAGGAAGAAGGAGCAGCCCTCCTGTTGCTACTCTAAGAGGTCAGGTGCCCTCTTGTGCTCTTGGGACCTGCACAAGAACAGCTTCCTTTATAGAAGCTAGAATCTGCATGGCTGGAGGCAACAGGGACTTCCTAGCCGTGAAATAGAGCCCAGACTAGCGATGTTTTCACTGATACACTAGGAAATGCTGAACCCCCTAACTCATTAAAATGTGATACCAAAACCCTCCTCCCACCAAGTAGAATGCCCTTTCTGAGCTCATCAAATGGAATCCCTTTTATGAGGAAACAGGCTCCAGGGTCATTAATTCCAGCTGCTTGACACCTCAAGCATAGCTGTTCCCCAGAACGCCCACCGGGAGCTCACCCCCACACCTGCCTGCAGCCACTTGTGTCCTGCCCTTGCTGGGCTTCCTGTGGAGCCCCAGGGACACTGCACCACCTCCTCTGCACACTGTCAGCTTCCATCCCTAGATCTGTTTTCTCCATCAGTCAACCCCACCTGCCATCTTCTTTTCCAGAAATTTCTTTCATTTTTTTCTTAAGAACCATTATAGATTATATGGATTATTTCACCTCCTTAAGAGTGAGTGTTCATTTTGCCATCTCAAGTCATAACTATTACCTTCTGAGTGACCCTTTCATTTTACTGGGAGAAGCTGACGAGCAGGGGATGTGCGATGTCCAGGTAAAAGGTAAGTTAACGCCAGCCAGCTTGCCCTCTTCCAGTTACAGTCTGTCCAAAATTACAAAATGCCTCTTTATAAATGTCCTCAATTGCACTCATCTGAAATGCAGCTTAACTAGCCACTATATCCTTCAGTATCTCTGAGAAAACTACAGTTCCTGAACAAGGAGAGCTGTATTTTAAATGGAGGCCCATTTCTGGGAGAAACAGGTAAGGACCCAGTTAACTAATGTCAACACTGCTGGGAGGTTGCCTAACTTAATGTTTTTTCCTTCCTACCCACTTCAGGTAATTTTTTTCTTAGTTAAAAATTTTAAATGTGTTAATGAATCACATGTGTGTGTCTGTGTCTGTGTCTGTGTGTATCATATACGACATCTCATTTCCAGTTCTCCAAGATTAGGGGCATGACCACCCACCCCATCCAGCTGAGTGTCCCACTCCTCCCCACTAGAAACTTTCCTACCACCTCATTTTTCACCTCCCAGTAAAACAATCAAAGCACATGCCCAAATTTATTTTTATTTTGCATACATAGGAAACAGGACCCTATCAAAAGAGAAAAAAAAGAGAGAGAGAGAGAGAGAAATGGGCCAATGTTGCAGAAAAACATGCATCAATCTGCTCCAAGTTCACACCTAACCACTGACTACAGGGCTTTAACACATAGGAGCCGATTCAGTCTAGAAGGTGGGCGCCGTCCACCAACACCACACAGGACACGAGGACACAGGAAAATGTCACCACAATGGAATTGCCACACAGTATCAGTGTTCACTGCAGCAGGTTCTCACCCAGTTCAAGAGAAAACAAGATTTAATTTACACAAACACAGGAATATAAAATTGCTGAGCACTACCTAAGTCATTCAATCTCTTAAGACCATTTGCTATCAAAAAGATATATAAGTTTTAGTCATGGAGACACCTGGGTACTATTCAACCACATCGAGATCCAATTCCAGGGGCAGCTCTCGTGTGCTTCTGTACTAAAAAACTAAAGGGAGAAACTGAAGAGAAAAAGGTAAAACAAATGACCTTGAGGAGGAGGAACTTTTTGGACCATGTTGTCCCTAGTTGTAAACAGCAAACATTGTGCTTTGTTGTTGTGTTTGAATCAAGGACCCAAAGGTGGTAGGTCCAGAGTTAGGGGCAGGAGTTGAGAGGTCACTCAGGGTGGTCAAAGACCAGGCAGCAGCATCTATGTTCACAGACTGTTTCCAGGGCCTCTCTTGTGGCGTTCCCCAGGAGGCCCCCTGATTCTCAGTCCTTAGAGCAGTGGCTGTGGCCACATCGTGCTCCTCAGCCCCTTCTCCCCCAGCCCATAACATGTCCCACCAGAGCAGGGACACCTTGCCTAAAGGGATGGAGATATTTGGTATCTACTCCACTGAGCTGCCTTGATGCGCCAGTTCAATGAATAACAAATTCTGAAGCGGTTTAGCCTGTCCCACAACTACAGGGATTTACACAGAGCTGCTTTACCCTCCTGCACGGATCCCTGCTCACTGTGCACGCCCAGTGACTATTTGCAAGATCCGGGGGGCTTTGTTTCTAAGCCAGAACTTACATTGCTTCTGTCTGATGACAGTGTCAGTGAAGTCAATTCAGTATTTTTTGAGAGATCTACCTGCTGTCCTGGAATTTTGCTTTCCTGTGTTTTCGCCAGCAAGCTCCTCCTCCTCAGCGTCCAACACACATCTGCTGAGGTTGACCCAGGGCTCTGGCTGAAGTTGTTGGCCTTGCCCTGCTGAGATATTTCTCTGGTAGGCTGATATGACCTCCCCAACTTGAAAGTATCCATCAAGCCCACCAGAACTGCCTCAGGGAAGGGTGCAGAGATCTCATCGTGACAAAGAACAGAAAGCTACTGACCTCAAAGCATGGGATCCTACACAGCATCCATAAATACACTAAGAGGGGGAAATAATTCTTTTTCTCCAAGTCAGACCAAGAGCTCATCAAATGCCAAGTCCCAGTTTGAGGCAGGGAATTTCAATAACTTTCCTTAGTGATTTTCAGGTGAGTCTGGATCTGCATCTCCACAGGTAAAGGCCGCACTCAGCTCTTTCAGCGCCAGTACACAGAAGGGAGCCTCCCTCATCTTCGGGAAGTGAGTGGAGACAGAAAGTGCTAAGAGATTCTTCTCCACTGGATGTTTAACAGCTTCTCAAAGAGGAAGACTGAAGGGACAACAGCCCAAAAGGGCCAGCGAGGAGTCTCATTCCAGCCATACTGCCTGCTGTGTGTGGGGCCTTCCATGTGGTAGGAGGCAGCTGGCCCCGGCGTCTCCCCCAGACCACTGCAGAGCTGGTTCTGCCTTGCCGTCTGCTGCTAGTCTTTCCTGAGAATCTGGGTGCCCCCGAGAGTGTCAGCCCTTGGGAACTGTTCACACTCCGCCAGACCACAGGTTACACCAGAAACAGAAGCAATGTGAAGAGACAGGGGTGAATGCAAACATTGGTCCTCCACAGGAAACCTGAAAGGGGGCCAGGCTTGCTCTGAAGACCAGAGAGGCATCTGCCCTTGGTGGCTCATGAAACCATTCCTGTAAGTGAACACAGATGGAGACAGGGCGGCCGAGGACAGAGGCTTTCCCTAGGTCCCTTGTGACATCACACTGGCAGGTGCCAGCAGCACCCCCTATTTAGCCTTCACCACCTGTTCATAAGGGGGTGGAGGGGTGTTGCAGTAGGAAGGGGGTGGAGGGTAGGCTGTGCTTCCCTGTGGTGAATTCGGTTGGATCTGGAAAGTCATCGCCATGGGATTTCCAGCAGGATTCATGCCTGGTCCTCCAGGGTCGGTGTAATACGGCAGCCCCGGGGGCTGGGCTCCTGGAAAACAGACACGCAGATGAGAGAAGGCAGAGAAGCCAGCTGCCCTCACACCAGAGCACCCCTGGCAAGAGGGATGTGGAGTCTACCACTGCCCCCAACCCCGCCCCCCCACCGCCTCATTCTCTCAGCAGCTGAGCACCAAGGACCCTCAGGTCCAGGCACTGGCACACCTGGGATAAGGTACTGAGCCAGAGCTGCAAGCAGGAACATGGGGAGTCCACCTACAAGGGGTCCACTGAAGATGGCGAGGTGATAAGGGGGACATTAACCAATCCAGGCATGGAACGGGGCTTGATGATGTTCACGTGGGCCCTGGATGACAGACCAGGCAGCGCTGCACGGAATTACCAGTGAAAGGGGGTCTATCATTTAGGCCCCAAATCCAGGTCAGTCAATTCAGTTAAGCATTGGGGAATTGGCAGTGGACCAGGGCTCCTGAGTCTCAGCAGATTTGTGTCTGGCACCCCACAGCCCTTTGGGAACAGTGTACGGCAGCGTAGCTCTGTAGCACAGTCTCCATGGCCACCTTCTGGTTAACATCAATCCCTCAAGGCAAGGACTATCTGTCATCCAAGTGAGCCCAAGTTTACAGCCAGGGAAACAATCTATGTGGCGAACGCCTGCAGGTGGGATGATGCATCCATGAAACCTCTATTTGGAGGAGGTCTTCTCCCGGGGTAGGGCTCTAGGGTGCAGGACTTGGGGTTCCAGAACACAGACAGTGACTAGAAAGAACAGCCTGGTCCTTCAGCCCCAAATCTAGCCCTCATTCTCATTTTAATGGGTAGACTGTATTAACTGCTGATAAGAGCCTACTTTTCAGACCTGTTTGTTGTCATGATTGATAACACTATAGATTACTGAATATATAAATAATCAAGAAAATAAAGTGGGGGCTTGGGCCTCCTTGCTCAGGCAAGGGGTTGAGTCTCAGCACTATGAGGCTGTCCAAAGCCACTGCTGCATGAGCTCAATCCCGGCCAGAGAGCTGACCCAAATGGTGCAGCAGATCTCTCCTATCTTGCCCGCTGCTCCCCTCTGTGGATCTGCCCGATCCACTGTGTATTCAGGGTATCAGAGTGCTCTGCTCCCCACTCTGTCTCTGGTGAAGCCTCAAGTCCTACACCTCTGCACCTCTGGCCTATAGCAGTTCTTGTATGCATAAATACATAAATCCTTAAAAGTGGGGACTTTAGGGAGTTCCTCAGCTAAGCTAATCTGTGAGTGGACTCTGGTCTACTTGAGTTAGATTTCTTTTAATGCAGTAAATTTCTCAGAACATTAGTTTTCCGTGTGAATATTACGTGTAAATATTATGTAAGGTAATTTTCCCGCAAGTCCCCTGCTACCACAGTGTGAATGAACCAAGAGAGGCTGATGACCTTCAGCACCTTTCATAGGGGAGTAAGGGGGTTCTATAGCACAAAAGACTTTCGGGGAGTAAGTATCTCAGCCTCTAGCTGGCGTAAGTCAGATTTGGGAATGAAAAAATATGCTGAAGGAGAGAATGTAGAATAGCAATGCATCCCAGATTGTCAGCAGGAAGTACCTCAGCACTGATGCCACCTTCTGGCCAATGGTCAATGGCTTAATTTATCAGCCAGTGGGATGAAACCCTAAAAGATGGGGCCAGGTGAGCTTCTGGGTTGGCGAACATGCGGTGACTTGGAGTCAGTGACATGCCTTGACAAGTATTGAAGCTCTGAGCACTTTCTCCAGAGCTTGCCCTTAGCATTTCTTTCATCTGGTTCCTTTTATAATAAGTTGGTAATCCAAACAGTAAATGTTTCTGAGTTCTATAAGTGCTTCTAGCAAATTTGTAACCCCAAGGAGAGACACTTACTGGAATCACCAATCTGTAGACAGGTTGCCAGAAGCACAGGTGTGAAAATTAATGTATAGAATCCCTATTTAAATGAGGTTGCCGGGCTGGATTTAAACCAACAGACTGCTTGATAACTTCATTGTCCTACCTTCAAGTTCACTGATTCTTCTGCCTGTTCAACTCTGCCTTTGAACCACCTCCCATAAGCCTCACTGAGAATTTTTCACTTCAGGTATTATAGTTTCCAGGTCCAAAATTTGGTTTTTTGGGGGCTTTCCATCTTTTCACTGATATTTCCATTTTGGCACACAGTTTACATTCACACATGTTCCTTTAGTTCTTTGAGCATCTTTAAGACTGTTGTCTTAAAGATCTGTCTGGCATATGTTCCACTAGGTTTCTTTCAAGGACCCTCTGTTGATTTATTTTAATTTCCTGTGAATGAACCATACTTCCTGTTTCTCTGTGTACCTGGTAATTTTTATGTAAGAATAAAAATGTGGCAGCTGTGGCAATCAGGTTCTTCCCCATCCCCCAGGTTTGCTGCTCTCTACTATTGTTTTTGTTTATAATCTATTCTTTTTTATGATTGCTGTCAGCTGTCTGGCACCAAGAATCAGCCTGACATGGGAAATTAATATCTTCTCAGGCCTTCCCTGACCCTTTCCTGGTGGGTCAGGTTCTATAGTATACTGGAAATCACTTTCTAATTGTCCTTGTACATGCAGGTTTTTTTTTTTTTTCTAACGTCATTTAGTGTGTAATTCCCATAGGGAAAAAAGAGAATGAGATAGGTTCAACCCCTCGAAGTCTCTTCAGTTAAACTATGTGGGGAGGTGAGACAACACTGGCAATCCTTTGTGGTCAAAAGGAACAATCAGCCCTCACAGCATATAACTCTGACATGTGAAGGACAGGGTAATTGATTCTCCCCACCCCCATGGCTTCTGCAGCAATGTACAAGCTGCTGCAGGAACAAGTGCACAGATGCCACCATGATCCATGTGGGGCCAGGCAGGTGTTACTGTGCTAAGGGCTGAAATTAGCCTCAAGTCTTCACTTGGAAGTTACAAGCCTTCCATAGACCTCAAAGTCCAAAACCATTACAGCAAACAGTTTCTGACTGTGCCTAGATGAAGACAGAGATATTCCTGGTGCTTCTTAGCCAAAATCTTCCCAGAATCCTCAGTCAACCACTGCTTTTTGATCTAACTTAAAATAGGTTGCCCTTGGCCCTCCCTGGTGGCACAGCGGGTTAAAGCACAGCACAAAGAAGCTTAAGCCACTTCTTCCACATGAGTTTGATCCCGGCCTGCCCTGGAGGTGACCACATGGCGCGGCAGACCTCTTCTGACCTGCCCGCTGCTCCCTCAGCAGTGTACTTCGTCGATCTTCCTGTTATGCTCCCCACTCTGTCTCTGGTGAATCCTCACACCCTCCACATCTCTAGCCTGTACCCCAGTTCTGTACGAATAAAATAAATAAAAAAAAAATAGGTTGCCCAATAGGATGCTATCCTTGCTCTCTAACAAAAATCATGCTTTTTTATGCCAGTTTTTTTACATACTGTTGTAATTCAGTGCTTAGGGTGACTGTATTTATGATCATTAAACATGATTCATATATACGGAGAACTGATGAAACTCAACAAAAATAAAGTAAACAACCCCATCAAAAAATGGGCAGTAGAGCTAAAAAGACACTTCTCCAAAGAGGAAATGCAGATGGCCAACAGGCATATGAATAAATGTTCAACATCACTTGTAATAAGGGAGATGCAAATTAAAACCGCAATGAGATACCACCTCACCCCAGTGAGAATGGCACATCTTCAAACAACTAGCAACAACAATTGTTGGCGAGGATGTGGAGAAAAAGGAACTCTCCTGCACTGCTGGTGGGAATGCAAACTAGTACAACCACTATGGAAAACTGTCTGGAGGTTCCTCAAGCTGCTAAACATGGAGCTTCCCTACGACCCAGCAATCCCACTCCTAGGTATCTATCCAAAAGACACAAAAACACTGATTGAAAAAGATACTTGTACCCCCATGTTTATTGCTGCTTTACTTACAATTGGAAAAACATGGAAGCAGCCCAAATGCCCAAAAGTAGATGACTGGATTAGAAAGATGTGGTACATATATACAATGGAATATTACTCAGCAACCAAAAAAGAGAAACACATGTCTTTTGCAGCAACTTGGATGGAGCTGGAAAAGATCATGCTTAGTGAGATAAGCCAGAAAGAGAAAGAAAAATACCGGATGGTTTCACTCATAGCAGGAGTATAATGGACCAGGCGGGAAAATAACAAAAATAATGAACACCATATACCAGAGACATTCTGTGGGGGCGGAGTGGAGAATGGGATCAAAAATGGGGGGTGGGGGGGAGGGAGGGAAATGCACGGGACTATGGTGGTGGCACAGGGGTGATTTGGTGATGGGAAACCCGCGGGGATTACAATCGAGATGGAAAAAAAAAATGTGCAAAATTATGTAAAAATAAACTTTGTAATAAAAAAAAAAAACATGATTCATTATGATTTTACTTTGCTGTTACTAAGTTATACTAGTTTTCCAAAACAAATTAGTTACCATGACTTCTATACTTTATAGAAAGAATCATTTCTTGAAAGCTTCCAAAAAGCCAAATGAATTTAGAACTATGCTGGAAGGTATTTCTTTGTAAATGTCTTCAAACTCTTGCTTGATATTTGGTCCAATGGAAACCTTAGTGTTCTAATGCATCCTTGATGATACAGAGTTTATTGTCTTACCAAGATTTTTCATTTCCTGCATGTCTTTTTAACTTTTCATTTTATTTATGATTTTACCCCTTTTATTTCTAACTTTCTTAACTAGATTTATCGGGGTGGAACTTATACTGTCATTTACAGTTACTGATTTTTAAGAAGCATTTACTTTTGAATTTGCAAAATGATTTTTCTGCTTTGTATAAGTGATTTGTGTTTTTATTATTAGCTTCTTCCTGCTTTCTGTGAGTTTTATTTTGGAATTCCTGACTTCTTTTAAAGCAGCCAATTCATCTGCTTGCATATTTTAAATGTTTTTTTTAAAAATAGGGATATAAATTTAGCTCTAAAAGCTCACATGTATGAATGTTATGTTATACATAACATTTTCATTGATTTCTTTATTCATGTGTT